AGTTCGATGGATCGAAGGAAGTTCCAATCCTGCAGATGCTATGACAAAGGAAAAACCTTGCCATGCACTCAAGGAACTTATTGATACAAATTCAATATGTGTCAAACCAAATCAGTGGGTTGAAAGATAAAGGAAAATCTAGTATTAAGATAGGTCGTCTATTTTTTTCATTTTCATTTTCATTTTTTATTTTTCATTTTCTCGTTTACCGCCAGTGTGTGAACTGGCTCACAACATGTTATGTACAAGGGTCGAGTTGAGACTTTTCCTTATAGGGAATAGCGTTTAGCTAAATGTAACAATGTATTTATAGAATTCCTCCCGGCAGGGAGAAGAAATAGGAATGAATTGAGTAACCCCACACAAGCTTGTGAATTGACCATTGGTAGTGTTCCGACAGTCGAGAAAAAGAAGCTAGGTCTGGAAGCATAGAGCGATGGTTAGCTTCCCGTCCAGCTAACACGGTCTGCTCTTTCTCTGATGGATCATCATCGGGTCCCAGAAAATCAGCCTGGGGGTATGTAGTATACCAAGGAGGCAAGCTTGTTGCAAGTGGCTCAGGTCCACTTCCCGGAGCAGAGGTATTCGACGCAGAAGTTGTAGGTGCCATGTATCACAAACCGGCTTTCCCACGAGGAAAACGGCCTGCTTGTTACTACCATTGTGCCATGGGCTAATGCTGAGACGCTGCGCTTAGTCTGGTCAACCAAGTCAGGAACTTCCCTAGTAACATAGTCAATGTGTTGCAATGGTTATAATGTTATGATAGCAACAGTTACTAATCAACATAAGCAATCAGTTGCTGTGTTATAGCTGTAGACTACCATACCCCTGATTGTAGTAGCCGCTCTTGAGTACTTAAGGAAGGTCTAGGACTGGATTTGTTCTGTAGTTTTTGTCTTGTAATTATTCTAGACTTTTGATTGATCCGATTATTATAAGCTTTACCTTATACCCCGACTCTGTCCCGTTCCGCCTCCGTCTTGTCTCGCCCTCGTCCCGTTCCGATCACATCCTGTCCCGACTCCGTCTTGTTCCGACCCTTGACCTCCGAACTAGCCAACGAGCCTGACATCATGAAAGCCTTGAAGGCTACAATAGAGGTAGGAAAAGACTTACTGATTTGCATTCTTCTGGACAACCAAGCGGCCACCCAGGCGCTCGAAAGAGGAAGATCTAACTCCTCGCAGTCAGTGGTGGGCAAGTTTTCATTGCTGAGACACAATAAGCGTGTGGAAATACGCTGAATACCCAGGCATGTGGGGATTCATGGCAATGAAGAGGCCGATAAGCTGGCCAAATCAGCCTTGGGAGCTCCCAATAACCAGTCACTAACCTCAGCTGCGCCCAGTGGCGAAGATCAAGATCTAACCTTTGCGGTATTAGGGAGGTGGGTTAAACCGCGCAGCCACGAGCTCGTGGAAGAGTGGTGGCAGAAGTATCGACCGAAACGATACAAAGATCTGGACCTATTTATGCGTTGCAAAAGATCACCGGAACTAGCTATACCAAGATGGGCGTATCATCGTCTTATTGCGGCAAGAACAGGCCACGGGGACTACGCTGACTATTACCTGTTGAAAATAAACTAAGAATGTGCAGAACTCTTCGAGTGATCACGGAGAAATAACGAAGTATATACTTCAAAGGGTATCCGTAGATATGAATTATGTTTATAGTAAAGGCTTGATCGAAACTCTTGATCTTTACTATGGGATATGAGACTGTCTATATACATTGATGTCTGGCAATGACATGGGCTAGAGTGTAATACCTCTTACGGGATACAACAGAACAAACTACAGATCTGATACTAGTAATGCGTATTCTCGTCGCAGTCTCGAATATCAGACGTGACAAAAATGATGGTTTAACTAGTATCAGATAGGCGATACCCGACAATCTTGATGGACACATACTGAAACCACAAGCACGGAGAGTGTCTAGATTGGCTTCGCAACATTACTAACGTTTCAACCCCGAACATGATGATCTGAAATACATTTGCGGCCGAGAGAAAAGGCCCTGGCATTTTTCAGAGTGCCGACCTGCTTTGCAACGTTGGATAAGCTGTGAGAATTTGGCCCCGTCTGGGGCTAAGGGGATGATTGTAGAGAAGGAGTGGTAGAAGCTTTTCCAATTACTAACTACAAGTAGATGTTACTGTCTGCCGATGAATGAACAGGGTGGGAGGTTTTTGTGATTAAGGTATGATTAGGCATGAGATGTTGAATATTCTAGGATTATTGCAGAGGGTGGATAACGATTATCAGAGCTTGACGATATGATGAATAGCTTATTTATATTCATCTACATATCACAGTAGTAGATAAGGCTTATATACACATATTTGGTACCCGCTATACAGTACATCACCGTCTATGCAGGAAGTACTACAATCTTAATTCCATGCCATACTATCCCACATTACTCTGTGCCATTGTATAGAGCTGCGCCTCAATAGTCGATCGTAATGATGGCCATGTAGGGCTGTGCAGTACTCGCATAGATTTGTTGTATCCCTAGCACTTGGCAGAGATAAGTTTAGAGTAAATGCAATAATCACATCACAACAGAGGTGACCATGCTGAGATTGTTTCCAACTTGAGAGGAGATATGTTTGGATGATTGGGATGCGGCGCAGGGCACCGTATCTCAGACATTTACTCTACCTTTCTATTTCCTTTTCTTTTGTCGCTTCTGGCTTCACTGCCGGTCATGTAGATAGCAATGAGCTCTCAGAACCCATCTATCCGTGTCACGTCCAATTATATGTTAGGTTCTTACTGCCACGTAAAAGATTTCAATTTCAATTTGAAGTCCCCATCTGGTACATAACCGCCTAGATAATTCCTTATGCGCCCCATCCGTATTTCCAGGGGCGCTGCTTCGCCATAGCCTATCCTCTAAGACGGAGTGGTCCTACTGACTAGGCCCAATCCGGGCAAAGGCCGTCACATCTACCTCTTGAATCGTCATATTTCTGAACATCAATTTATCAGCAGCTCACATTGATTCATCAATAATCACTCCTTAAACATCTGCTAATAAATGCTGGTAAAGAATTCGTCTTTGATGGCTTGAAGGTACTTGGAATCTGTTTGGGACAACGGGCCGAACGATATACAACCGCACAATGGAATCCAACATCGGCGGAGAAGATACCAAACACCTATATATACACAATAAAAATCTAACATACTTCACACATAAATTAGCTCGTGATTTATAGCTATCTTTACCTTTGAAATTCTACTTTTGATGTCGTGATACCCGAAGTGTATTAAATCAATTAATCAAACTGAACTCATTCTCTGCTCTCAGGCATTTTTATTCCGAAGTCCCTATTTGCTGTAGCAGTCTGGCCTGGGTCAGAGGGGCCTAATATGTTGGATAGTCATAGACTCAAGTAGCACAATAAGCCCTCACCCAGACACTGTAGCAGTTTTCGGCCAGTCATATACTTTATCCCAGCATATGTAACACTGACTAGCCATTACGACATTGCTCTAAATCATCTACTGACAATCAAGTCCTAGATAAAGGATATTTATCATTTCGTCAAAAATGCGCTGATGCATGAAGTTTAAGTCATTGTAGATCCTTACAATTGAGATCAAAGAGTTTTTATTGATTACTTTAGCATCAACAGCAGAATTTAAATGATCAACTCCGACATAATTAAAATGCACACAATATTCCGACATTTAAAAAGAAGTACATGAAGCACTCCGTCATCAACATGAAGTTTCAGAAGAAGAAATATCAGTATTGAGCATATTAAATGGGCAAACATTCCGATAAGCTGATGGAGATGCTGGAGTTCCAATTGTTTAGAGGAAGTGGAAGAAAGGGAAACAAACTCCTCACATTAAACTCAAGTATATTTTATCTCAAAACATTCTAAGAAGCCAAGGCGTCTGTGGCAGAGTAGATGTAGATTTCTCAGTAAAGAGGGGGGCCAACGAAGCTGCTACATACCAGCCGAAAATCTATAAATCCTACGCGGCGTGGAAGTTGGTTTTTCGATAGACTCGCTAGATTTATAGAGTAGTAAAAAATCCACTCCTCGTGGATTTCCAGAACCTTGAATTTAGGCGAAATTCTTCGAAAAAAACATACATACTAACTTCAGCTATGTAGGGAAATTATCGGTAGCCTCATCGCAGCGTAGACAGTACAGGACAACCAAAGGGAGTATCATAAACAGCCTTTGTGTAAACATCTTACTTGCCTCTAATGAGGATCAGATACTATACTAGCCCGCTTTTTGTTTAGTTGAGTAATCAGAAAAAGTTTTAGACGTGGAGCTAACAAACTAAAGCCGCACGAAAAAGTAGATAGGCAATTAATACAAATAAACGGCGCAGTGGTCTTTAGCAGCAATTTAAATAATTATCTTCAGGCTAAGCGGAAAATGAAAGTAAGCCACATGATAGGTTTTTATAAAATAATTTTTTAGCAGTATAAAATAACCGGTAGAGTTCATCGCAGTGGGCTATGCGTCCTTCAAATCCAGAAAGAACTTGAGCAATTATTGCTATATTTTAGCTGCAAAAGCTTTGCTTAGTCAAACCTTATCAGTTAAAAGCGGTCTGATATTTGTAGCTGTTTCAAAGTAATTTATCAAAGCTCTGCTACTGAGATATTATTAAGATGGGTTTCCGATCGTTAAGCTGGCTTCTTATTTTTACTGGCTCATCAATTCTAACGGTTAAACTTCCTCATTGTTCCTTGGAATCGGTGAATAGTAGAAAATGATAGGTATATAAAATTTTCTCCATTAAACGTCTCATGCTACCGCTATCTCGCGCTTATTGTAGATGTATTTGAAATTTAATCCTGTCCGCTCTAGGTGATATCTTTTAAACGATTGGTTTTTCTGGTCTTTATGCTGTAGACCTATCTTCCAGGTGTGGTATTGTTTTGAAATAAATCAAGAGGCAGTGGTGATTAATCTTGGTAACCTTTAGTCAAGTTAGGCATAAGATATGTTATTCTTATCCTCGTCCCAGTATCCTGTTAAAGCAGGAGCCCAAGCTTTTTCGTTTGGAGTAGCTCTCTTCAATATCGCCAGCATTATCTTTATGGTCTAGTGAACCATAATTTTCAACATTCTGAACACTTTCGCTACGCAAAGAATTATCATCAGGCTCGCATCCCGGAAATAAACTCGCTGTGCTCATTCTCGTCCCCTCTTTGCGAGGTAGGCTTTCAGTAATACATGAGGAAGGCCATTCACCATTTCGTTTCCAGCCTTCGACACAGCTACGAGTCACATCTCTTAAGTTAATAGGACATGTTGGAACTATTGAATTCATCACAACCTTATCAAATATAACACTGTAGGCACGAGGTGTGATGGATTTTCGAACGAAATTTTCAGCGGGGATAATGGAGGCTGCAATGGGAATTTCGAGCACAAATTCCATTTCTAGCTCTTTGCTACCGGTATCTTTTTCGTCATTTTCATTTTCTACTTGAGTAAAACTTGTTGGAGACTTGAGTGCTGGCCGTGAAGTGACCCGCGCCTGAGTCCAGGCATCACGCCGAGCGGTGAAACAGCGAAGTCCATCATTCCACAATAATTCTTTTTCATAACTTTCTTTAATTATTCGCCTTTTTTCTTTGAGAGAGTCCTCTATTTTTTCGATACCAGAAGAATTCGATAACGAAATAATGGGTGAATTGGGTGACAAGGGCAAGGTTGACGCGTTAGATAAAATTTTCTCTCCAACATCACTCAGGTTACTGAGCCACTCGTCACGCTCTTTCCACTCACAATCAGTGAATTTAGACGTCTTCTGGTCTGTACCTTGCAAAGTTGATATTTCCTCTGATTCTGATATAGGATCCTTGGCTGGGGGCCAAGGAAATGACCAATCACTTCTAACTTTTTCTGCCAAAAAAATCCGCAATGCTCTTTTTTGTTTGTTACGATCGCTACTTGTAAGGTCGGCCTCGTACTCAGAAATGGAATTTGTGTTCGCAAGGTTACGATGGCGTTGAGCTAAGTTTTTCGGAGGCGGGGCCATCATTTTGTCAGATTTCAAATATACAGCGGTCAGATTGAATTTAGCGTAGATTTTTGGCAGTAAAAAACTTGTGTGGGGTTTGCGAGCAGAAGATCTGAATCATAATTAGTTTTGGCTTCTAGTACTAAAGGACTGGTCATGACAATGATGGTCATAGTGAGATCTATCATTCCTACATACCATGAAAATACTCAATCACTCATGTCAAGCACGAAGAAAAATCTTATCAGTATTTTTGTCGTTGAAGAGGTGATCCATACGAAAACATTCTATCTTCTTCCTATTTACTAATACCAAAAGATGAGAAAAAGAATGGATGTGCCGGACAAGAGATGGTTAAATACGGGTATGTGAGGAGAGGCAATTGAAACTTTATTGCTTATCTAGGCGATAGTTCCAGCAGGCAATTGACGTGAAACTATGTAAGCTAGCCTTGCCAATTCCCAAATTTATTGGCAAATAAACAGATCGTGCTAGTCTTCGACGGAATTAAATCTGTTTATGTCTCGTACTATTATCAAACTTTCATCAGGCAATGAAGCCGCCGATGGGTATCCGCGCTTTCTCTAAATGTCAAAACCTTATGACCAAAATTGAATTTCTGTTTTCAGTAATCTCAAAGAACCAGAGGACGAATAACTTCCCTGGAACTAAGATCCTACTACTAATAAGGGCAGATTGGAGAATTTTCATGGAAATGGGGATCAGGGTGAATGGCTTCAGCATTTTTATTCTCGAAATTATGACCTGCAGTGGATTCAAAACTGCATAATCATCGACTTCTATCTGCTTCATCCTAATTACAAGGCGATGATATTCCACATCCCAGGGGGGCGAAAACCCAACACCTGTCAGTGGTGCTCCCTACGAGCCTCCATCTCTCACTGTAAAGTATGCAGAGTCGAGATTGAGTAACTAATTCTTCATTTTCAAACTAATTCCCAGTTCTCGCGGTCTGAATCGTCTTCATCTAGTGTATCCCAATTGGGGAAAAACCGACCGTGCACATTATGCGCTGTTCATTGGCTCTCGTGGTGCGGGGGAGACATTTAAATAAGTTGGCGATCCCCAATCATTGGTCCAATTGATGTACTATTAATCTCATGCATTCTTACATTATATGGCCAATTAGTCGGAGCGACGGGATACCTACGTGAAAACAAATTGATCATAAACCGACCAATCAGAAGCCACAGTCCCTCAGCACTTCCCTTCATCAAGATTATAATGAAGCTAACTACGTTCAGATCCAATGTCAGGGTCGAAGCCCTTCTCATCACTAACCCTTGATCATGAAGTAAAAGCCATCCGGTGAGTTTCCGGAGTGTACCCAGCACCCGATGCGGAGACAGTGGATTGGATCAAGTCAACCTCCATTGTTACAAAGAGGGGAGATATCGATGAATATGCGCACCTCATGTGGTCCCGGTGTCTAGGCCTCGCCTGGCTGGGGCTGGAGGTTTTTTGAGACTTTTTCCCGCGCACGCAGTTTCCAATGCTTCCATTTCTTATATTTTTTTTGGGTAGAAGGTTCCGTGGAAATGGAGGCTGGATTCCATGGGTAAACACTGAGCTGAATGGCTATTCATAACGGGCAATACATCAATGATCCTACAAGTAACAAAAGAGGAAAGGAGCACTGCACAAGGTGTGGCCTGGGCTAGAAAGGAGCACAATGTGCAAGATAATCATAGACTCAAGTACTACAATAAACTTACCTCTCTCTCTATACAACTACATATTAAAGATGATACTAAATTTTTCACTACGCCTAGAACGGACCAAAGTGATATGGGTTAATTTCACACCATTTCGCTGACGTTCTAGCCCGCGCACTGAACTTTGATCGCTGCAACACCAAGACAGATGCGTGCACCGTGTAGTACTAGTTGAAGGGGGACAATGACCTAGCAATTACGAGTGTTATCTTCCACAAACTTGAGAGTGATGTGTTCTCTTGACAGATAAGGTCGCAAGAACGGATGGAATGAATTTGATTTCAGGGACTGTCTTTCTGTATGTGCTGTGTAGCTTTTTTCAAGTGTGTTCACCTGCAAATATTGTGGTCAGGTATATTGTCCTAATCAGATTAGATTAGACTTAAAGTGCAGTCTCTGAAGAGTCCAAGACTATGAAAGACTGCTAATGCTATGACTAACTTTTTATACCTTGTTAATATGCCAATATATTTAGTTCAATGTTTAATAATGGATTTTAAGTGTCTTGCCATTGTTGTCCTGATTGTCCTAATGAGTGTGTGCCTTTACAATGAAATTAGGGTCCTCACTAACTACATGCCGGGGACCTATGCTCTGGGCAGTGTAGCCCCTCCTATGTGTCCTTCACAGCTTCTACCTAGTACTGATACCATCACAGATCTTAATTTGCGTAAACACTTGGAGGGGCCGTTACCCGTCATTATCCAGCCCTTCTAACCAACGAAACCATGGCCAATTGGGAGGGTTAGTTTCGTTTGGGTTATTAACGTGCTGGGCAATTGGCACCTTCCGTAATCCCATAGGAGCCTGATTACAAGTGGGACCGGGCTGGATCAGGTTTACTACCATATAAGTACATAAACTTCGTCCGACCTGAATGGCCGGACCACCTCAGACTTCCCTCGTGTGTTGAAAATTTCAACTTCGCGAATTTATAAACTTTGTAGACTTTCCACCTCTCCAGCCTTGCCCCATCGCAGCCGTACCCTTAATCGTGAAGGCCGAATATTGGGCCAAGAGCTCAAGACTAGGGCACAAATGCCCCGGCCTTTGTCAAATTCTTTAATTAATGTGCTGGGGAATGGTCGTACATATCTCGTCAGTGGTGATTCATCGTGGGCCGAATTATCGGTGCCCACGGTGGAGGTTGGACGAATATAAGGCTGATACTTCGACCGTACCTACATAGCGCACGTTAGTTGCGAGAGGGTGAATTTCCACTGGAATCTTAGATGGCAAGGTGTTTTGGAGAGCTAGCCAAGAACGCTTCCAACTTCTTTTCGAGCAAAGAGAGATGAGGAAGCATTAGCAAGATGTTTGGGTACATCCAAGCGCATGACAGCGCATACAGGGAGTTAAGCTGGGAAATATAATTGGGTAATTGTTCTCTTGGCTTGAGGGAAAATCTAGATTAGGTGTACGAAGGTTAGAATTACAATTCATAAATGCGAGATAGCCAAATAGCTGAGTGTACTGTTGATTTGCAAAGGAACTAAAATCCTAGAGGTGCTTAAGGCCAAAATATTTGTGAGTGCCAAGTCCCAGGTTTCGGTTAATTAGCCAGCAGAGCTTCCATTAAACAAATTAATTTTTCAATTATGCCAATTTGGCGCGTGTATATTTTGTTTATTGTGCTACTTGGGTCTATGACTATCTAGCACATTGGGCTCCTCTCTGACCCAGGCCACACCTTGTGCAGTGCTCCTATCCTCTTTTGTTACTTGTAAGATCATTGATATGTTGCCCGTTATGAATAGCCATTCAGCTCAGCTTTTACCCATGGAATTCAGCCACCTTTCCATGGATCTTTCTACCATTAAAAATTTAAATGGCAGCAATGGAAAATGCGTGCGCGGGAAAAAGTCTCAAAAAATCTGCGGCCCTAGCCAGGCGATACCTAGACGCCGGGACCACATGAGGTGCGCATATTCATCGATATCGCTCTTCTTTACAACAGTCGAGGATGACGTGATCCAATCTGCCATCTCCGTATCGGGTGTTGGGTACGCTCCGGAAACTCATCGGATGGCTTCTGTTTTACTTGGTATATGAAATGGGAATGTACACTTGCGCTGGAACAGCTAAGACAGTATGTGGAGAGATGTCTTCGTTAATGTGCAGAAGTGAAGTGACTATGATAACTATTATATTACAGATTGGGGGAAGCTCGTCCCTTATCATCTAGCTTGTTTCCCTGTAGACCAATCACGTTACCAGTATGCAGCTCACCAAAGTGTGCAACCAACTGAGAAGCCATGCCATTTATCCTATATCAACAACCCATCTCTCATACTGCACACATTCCTACTTGTAATGTTGTTATGTAGAGACTGGATCTCCTTCATGTGCCATGATGCCATGCTGCCATAATAACTACCTATGCACCAGCTACTAGATCTATCATACTACATAGCTGAGCATAACAGCTTCTCCTCCATGACCAAGGGTTAGTAATGAGTAGGGATCTGACCCTGCCATCTGATCTGATCGTGCTTAGCTTCATGACAATGGTGATAGCGGAATGTGTTGAGAGATGAAGATGATAAAGACGATACAGACGGCGAAAGAGATTAGGAATCTTCGTGGAAGTGAGGACTTTGTTACTCAATCTCGGCTCTGCAGACTCTACAGTGAGAGTTAGAGGTTTGTAGGAGACACCACTGACAGGTGTTAAGAATAGTCTCCCTATTGTGGTCTGTATTTCCTGCAGAATTTAAGTCATCATTGTGGTATCTTCTACGTTCGAAGCCTTCAGGATAATTGGGGACACATTTGGTTTCCGGAGGCTTTTAATGACTTGAATGTCCTCCGCTAACGGTTTCATACATGTTCTGGGAGCGAGGCTGTCTTCTTTAATTGCTTGTCTGAACCTCTTTACGACTGTGTCCGTGTTTTGGGGAGCTTACGACGCGTTATTTCATCCTTTGTTGCCAGGAGAAAGCCTCCTATCACTAGAACTTCGCTGAGGATTACTTTCCATCGTTCCTATGATAAGGCTTAAACTTGACAGAGCGAAATTCGATGAGGTCGATTTTTTGAAAATCAGTTTTCTGGGGGCTGTGATCAAATTGGTAGGGGGACTATTCTCAACATCTGTCAGTGGTGTCCCCTACGAACCTCCAGCTCTCACTGTAGAGTCTGCAGAGCCGAGATTGAGTAACACCTTATTAACTTTGAGCTGAGTTATCTCCCCCTCCGTCAATGATACGCTTCCGATAACACATAAGACGACAAAGACGACGATAATGATGCTGGGAATGAGGAGAGATAATGCGGTTCCAAACCCTACAACGGTAGTCAGAGAAGCCCTCGTTATATCACAACATGTGCTACCCACCGGCGGGCGAACAAAAAGCCCACGAAAGCAAGGTAAAAGACCCTTCCGCCCTCAAGAAAAGCAGATTTCGACTCGTCTACATTATTGTCCCTACTAATCATAACTTCCGAACCTACTAGCTAGGAGGGCATCTGAAATACATGAGTTACTCGACGACCCCACGTCCGTAACGACTTTTCGATGCTAGGCTAGGCTCCTTCACGACTTTCACTCTCGACCAAGACTTTTCTGACATCCTTTCACGACCTAAGATTTGTCCTGCGGCATGAATCAGGGGAGGAGTAAGGAGGAGGTTAGGAAGGTTGAGAGACACTCTTAGGTATACACAGGTCTGCTGGGCCCAGCTGGCCGGCCTCTTCGTCATAGGAGAGCCCCGCACCCAGTGGTTTTTGAGACTTTTCCCTGCAGCTACACACCCGCAAATGGCCATCGTTTAGTTGGCTTGAGAGGGGAGATAATGACGGGATAACGGCTCCTCTTAGTGTGTACTCGAATGAAGACCTGTGGGGGTATTACTGCTGGAAAGAAGTCGTGAAGGAGGCATAGGGGGGAGTACACTACCCGAGGCATAGATACTCCCGGCCTGTAGGCAGAAAGGACCTACATGTCCTTACATAGTTATAGACTTTTTAGGACAATAAACACTCACTCACTCATCAAATTGGTATCCTCCTTTCTAAATATTATAGATTCATCTAACTGCATGGGCCATAGCGTACTTGAGCAGGCAAAATGAAATGAGCTCAAAATAATAATCATTAACCAATTCCTCACATATATTTCTACGTGATATTCAATCTTCAAGGGTTAATAGCGCATTTTAACAGCTACTATTGCCGTTAGTGAATGGCTCAGAATATCAATGAATGGAATACAATAAACATATCCAGATCAACAAAATTTGACATGAATAGATCTCTAAGCGTAAATAAGATCACATACAATCTTTACGTAAGAGTGCAACTCACACTAATAAAACAAGCAAACAATAGAAGGTGTTGTGATCCGCCTCCTGGTGGTGTTCTCTGGCATGGTTTGAGTAGCCTAGGCACCTACTCCACTTGGGAAGGAGACATCTCAGACCACATTTTGCGCGGAGAAAAGTTGAAAGATGATGGAGGCATGTCTGGATAACTCAGGATTTTTGAGACGTTCTCCTGGTTGGGCATCCACGGATGAGGGTTGACTTGGGGTGAAGAAAAAGCCACCATAACTTCGCAATGCTACTTGAAAATGAAATCCGAGGCATGAGTGCTCATATTGTAAATTGAGTCATCTTTTCTGTACTTTTCTCTGATATTGTGTCATAGCTAGATAGCTGCAGACGCAACCAAAATCTGATGCAAAAAAAGATCACAAACAAATTGAAAGATATATTATATACTATTAGGAATGAGATCTACAGCTCTAACCACTTCTTACAGTTCCAAGAAAATAAATGTTGAGGTAAAAATTCACATACTAGTTGGCATCTCTGCCTCTAACTGACATGTTTTTGTTAATCATTATATCATCCAACAATCAACTTCTAGGCCATTTTTTGACTCTCCATCAGTTGGGGACGATTCTAGGTAAATGCTGATTTTAACATCGGTGATAAAAATACCACGAACTTTTTATTGTTATCCCAGAGTTATAGCTCTATTCATAATTTGACCTCCTAATACATTGATAATTTATTAGCAAGGGTCGAGCAAACATGAGCAGCCAGTTCAAATTTAGAAATATTTTTCTTAACTCTAATCTGTTCTATTGTGTTAGTGAATGCCGCTTTCATTCCTTCATACATGGGATTCGGGTGATCGGGTGTGCCTAGTTCCGGTGGGGCCTCCCCGAACAATATGTTCCGTAGCTTTATGACTAAGTCCTTCAAGTCAAAGAAACTCGTTGAGAACATATCCAAAATGTACCTGCAAAATTTTGTCATATATGTGAGTTTCTGTTGGAAATATTGCGCAATGAAATGGGCGCAATATGTATGGAATGAAAGTAGAAGTTGACTAAAAGAGTGTCATGTTCGGATTACAGCTAAAAGTGTGGAGAGTGTGCGCTACAAGTACAAGTGTAAACGACACAGAGCCTAAGCCACAGCATAAACGAGTGTGGCGCCATCTAGGCATAGAAAACCCCCAATAACCTCCTTGCGCCCATGCCATACAGCCGCTCATATGTCCAATAGGTAGCCTGAAGCGCTACCATATTACCTATTCCAACCTCTTAAACACACATAAGATTGTGTCGGGAACCTAGACAAAATGGAGGGCTCGTACGTCCACAACACTCCGTGTCTCCATTTCCAACAGTTTCGTGCCATAATTGAGGTCTATATTGTTGGAGCTCCACTTGTGCAATTCTATTACCTCCGCCGCGTCATCTTCGCCTTCAAACTCTATGCACCCGAGGAGGAACACGTAGAAGAACGATTCTAGGTCATGACGATACGTGCACTGAATTGTCATTTTATATGTTACAGTAAACTGTAATCTCTCGAGCGCCATAAACTTCATGGTCCCTGCCAATAAACTTTTGTCATCTTTTTTCGGATCATCATTGAGTAACATAGCATGATCAAGGTCAATCAACGTTCCTCGTATGCTATTTTCCCCATCTGGCCTTACTAATACGATATTTACCTTGAGATGTCGCAGTGAAGAATTCTTTTTTCAATGTAAGGACGCCGGTGAGCTACAATGGAGTCTCTTGTTACGACTAGAAACTCAAGAATCGTCCTACTACAATGTAGGGTATAGCCATGTGGTGTGATAACAACTCTGGTGAGATGTCAATCTCTTTTGAATGATTGTAGAGTTGGATTTTTGAGTCCGGGGCCCTTGGAGATGTGCTTATTCTTACCGGCCATACTCCATATACCCCATCCGAAAAATCTTGTTTTTGAACATGATTTTTGAACTGCCAGATCTTGTCGGACATGACATATTCGACGACGCCTTTACTCCCTTTGCTTCTTTCCAAAGTTTGACTTCTGTGACGGAAACCGAGTTGGTGATGAATAAATCGATTTAATAAACTATACGAGGAGAAAAGCTAACTCTAGCTACTACTAACAGGTATTTATAGGAGTTAATCCTCCTCGTGAATCTACAGACTAGTGACTTGTCCTTAGGCACAATACTTCTTACACAGCCACGTATTTCCAGGTGTCACTAAGTTGTAATAACGCTTCAGCCTCCTGAGTAGTAGTCCCGTTTCGTTCAGCTTCATCTCCCCCTCATACAGCCTCATAGTAAGAATTCTTAGTAACAGGCTTAGGTATCCACCTAAGCTCAAACAACGGTCAAACCGTAACAACTTCGGTGTCCCCTGGGTCCCTACTCCACGAACAATTGATTATGTTGAGCTTGGTTGTCATTTCAAAGCAAGTGGTGCCACGATTCACCAATGTCTTCGGTCGGATAATAGGCACAGGGTTGATTCTGAATTTCCTTGAGCCCTTGAAATCCTCTTTCTTTAACTGGACAAAATACACTCCATTCTCTTCCTTAGTGGTTTGGTTAAAACCAAGTTCATTCTTGCTCATAAGCAGATAGGAGGAGATTGCTCACACCAAGTACTCTTGGCTATCTCTGATGCTTATAAAGCCCGTGCTATATGCGCCCAAGCGGTCAAACAACCACAGTTCAAGGTCTGTTTAATACAAGCAGAATCCATGTAGAAACCGACGCAGCGGCTGCGAACAGAATATTTCTCTCGCGTATCTGGTAAGTTGTCCAAACTTTTGTTTCTTTGCATTTTCAACAAGTTCGACACTCAATTCACCGATCACGCCGATATCATTCCAGTCAGTAACCGCATCGAGAGGCAGGTCATTACTCTTTATCAGGAAGTCGAGTTTTCGCGGGCCTTCCGAACCAGTCAACTGTCCTGATCCAATTGTACGACAATAATGTCCTTTCAGTGGATATAATTTAGTCTTTCTGCCGACAGTAGACACTTCAGTAGTTGGTCTCGTCCTAGAAATTGAAATGCCTTTCAAAAACTACTCCTTAAACATTTTCAGCCAATTCCATTTTTGATCTTAGCTCATATTTGGTTCGAAGCATTTTTGTTTCAGGCTTTCATAAAAATCTTTATAAGATTTCAAAATACACTTTGTTTGAGAGGACCATTTTTCCCCTCAAAAAACGCTTTCCATATTTTCTTGATGTCGGTGGTGACGTTGCCTTGGAGTTCATTTCTCAACTCGACAGTAATAGGAGTGATGTTCTGATCATAACCTTTAAATTCTGAAATACTTTGCAAAGGGTTTATATGGATGGCTTCAGCAATAATAAGGGGTTACCAGGTCGAGTTTGAGTTGGTTCAGGTTTATTTTCTAGGGAAATTTCAACAACCGTTTTCAAGATAAATTGCTCTTTCGACTCTGATTTAATTGATTCAATCAGTGGACTGAATATGGAGAGTGGAAGCTCTTCTCGATTGATCCTTGTCGAGGCATCTTGGAAAAGCTTGCTAAGTTCACTCAAACTCCTATTAGCACCAATTTTACGGGTGTAAAAATATAATTGGAGAAACGTGTCGTAAAAAGCTATCCTGTTAGTGCGATTTGCAGTCTCTAGGTTGGGACTTTACCAGTTTTATGTTCTTTGTCCTCATAATCTCTGATAAATCGGTCGATTATATATTTTATTGGGTTCTGGGCTAGGTGGAGGAAAATATCTTGGAACTGATCCATTTCGTGATGTAGTGACGTTTAAATTTTGGATTAGAAAGCTAAGTTGATAGAACGTGAGTTTTCAAAAAAGATAGATTTTGATGACAACTTGAGTACGAATAATAGTTTATTTATTTGTATTAATTAACGTCGTGAGGTTCCGTGGAAAAGGTGGCCGAATTCCACGGGTAAATACTGAGCTGAATGGCTATTCACAACGGGCAATGTATCAATGATCTTTCAAGTAACATGAGGGGTAAGGTGCACTGTACAAAGTGAGGCCTGGATCAGAGAGAAGTCAAATATGCTGGATAATTTAGGATTCAAGTAGTTCAATAAAAACAGAAAACGTAGCTACCCCGCACAGCACGTGATCTAATCACGTGTCAGTTAGGTCAGTCTAAATAAAGCTACCCGACGCGTTGGCGCCTGAACAGGCCCATCAAAGCAAATGAAAGCCAGGATCTTATCATCCTGCGCTTGAAGATTAAATTATACATGGTTACCGGTCTCCCTTCAACTCTCATGTCCTAGGATTGTATTGAATAAAGAATAAATTAAATAAACAACATGGAAGGGGGAACTTAGTTGAATCACATGACTCCCTTTCGGTCAGACTTGTTGTGCTTTTCTAAAGAAATTTGTGACACGCACCCAGCTATTAAATGTGTGGACTCCCTCCACGGAAGCGAGAGCCCAAGATATACTGGGACTAGGATTCTATACTCTGTAAAGCTGTGCCTAGTACTGCCCAAGGTGGCAATAGAAAAAGTAATTGGGGGACTTTTCATCTCCGCATGAGCAGATTAGAATGGCGTTTTCGTGCTGAAAGCGTCGGTGGTAGTCTGCGAAATCGCCATAACCAGACCGTGCAGCTAATAGATATCCTAGTGTGCATCGCCCTAGGCAGGCGAGCTCGGCAGTGTGTGTGTGTTTATTGTGTGTTATATTAACTAGGCTATATGGGAGCAGGACGATGGATACTCTTCGGGAAGTTATGCTCACAGTAGGTTTCTGTAGTCGCTGTCGCGTGTGTTCTCGTGATATTTAAGACTTGACTCTATATTCTCGTATAAAGGAAACTTAGTTACAATGAATGGATGGAGGTTGAGACCTCCTTATATCTTGCTCCAGACTTACTGTGTTGTTCACAGCCTAGTGTTAGAACATTCCCTTATGATATCATTTCTCTCCTACGAGAAATTACCAGCTCGTTCTCTCTCAGTCCATCAGTCTCCCGCTGATTCCATTATCTCTATTCCATCGAGTTCTAGTTTGGTCCAGTATACCCACACATGCAATACACAATTTTTTTGAAATCGATGAAAAATTCACCTACCCATCCCCTCAACCCTTCAATTCATAGTTTCACAAGCTAATTTCATCATTATCATAGTTGCAAGACCCTGAGTCTCCGAAATGGCGACGGGTCCTACGAAAATCACTCGCCCCGCGCGCCAGCACAAAGCCATGGCGAAAATTAAAATCAGGTTGCAACACCGCCTAGATGCAAGAAATCTATCGATCGATACAATAGATCAAGACAAGATGGAATCAGAGATGACCGAAAGATTGAGAGTCTTCCAGGAAGACTCAGACTCAACAAACCCAGACGTGGAAATGGGCAATATGGTCATCGACCAATACATAATCGAGGGTCTCGACAAATCCTGATGGAATGTCGCTCAGAAAAATGATGATGTGGTCCCTGTGACCTCCGTCATTTCAACATCAAAGAAGATTGCTGCTCCTGCTGTCAAGAAGGCAGCAATTCCAGAGGTGAATAAGGCTAATCAAGCCACACCTGCTCAGATCGCCAGCAAGCCCTCATCAGTGGCGACTGAAAAACAACAATTTTCCTGCAGCGAAAGCAGGAAACAAAAAATCAATGGCTGCCCCCCGGAACTACAAGCCATGATTGAAGCTGAAGAGCGCAGGGCAGCTCAAACAGCAAAAAATATAATGATCTGCACTGCTGCGATCAATGCTGTCGAGACCGCGGTCTCCCTATACTCAGAAGAGTCGAGCAATCCGTTCATCGACTCGATGAAAATATATCTTCGAGCAGCCATTGCTCAATTCATGAAGTCGGGACCCAGTGCGGCCCCCCCAATCCTTCCACAGCGCCCAAGCTGCCAGGAAAACATGAGTTGTCCTATAACCAAGGCCAAAGAAAGAACTCCGATGAACAGTCAGGAGCCACGACGCCAAGTCACCCAGGCCAAATCGACCTGGGCAACAGTCGCCCGGGGCTCTCCCAAAAAGTCAATCGCTCCAGCGAAGACTGTTCGAGTCGCCCCAAACCCAGCAGTACAGGTCAAGAAACAAGCAAGACCTGTGACTGCAAAGCCAAAAGATGTTCGTCTGTTTCTTCGCCTCGGAGAGGAGCATGCATGGCGCGCTCTTTCGCCAGCTGGCGTGAGAGATGCCGTGACTAAATTGGTGGAGGTTCCATCCTCCAATATTGAACATGTGTATCGTGTTCGCACCGGCTTCGCTATGAAAGCCAAAAATGAAGAAGCACGCCAGCTTCTCTTCAACGCTGCTGAATCATTCAGCAGGGTTGAGGCTAAGTTGGAGACAGCCTCGGATCTGGCTGCCCTTCGAATCGCAACGGTTCCAGTGGCCCTATACACACTTTTGGGCAAGGTCACAGTCACTGAGGAGATGGTGGCAGAAGAAATAACTCGAACCACCAAGGCGGTTCCGGTACGTGTCCGTCCACTCGGAAAGGGGCGAGTAGGAGCTCCTTACCAAACTTGGATAGCTCACTTCGAGAGAGCGTCTGCCCCTCGGCCGGGCTTCCGACTTTTTGACGACTCTGGAATTGCAGTTCGTCACCAGCCTAAACAGGCAATAAGCCAGTGCAAACGATGCCTGCAATTCCAC